AATGCACTAGTGAAAAGATGAAATGATTGTGTTTCTCTCATCTGTTTTTTTTAAATAACCCACATGATGCAAGAACCAGCTTTCCCCAGGTATTTTCACATGATCTAATCTGGCCCCCTTTCAAATAGAGACAAAAAATAAGGCAGGTAATAAAAGTACCAAAACAGTTCCTGTATATTATAAAAAAAATATCTATATAAATATAAATATGTAACCAGTGGACTCTAGTGTTGTCTGCATTGTGTTACTATGAAGAGGCCCAGACCATGGATACCTTTGGAGGTGATCTCTGTTTATTCCTGACAACTGACAGCAAGAGGAAAAAACAAAATCCTCCGTCAATTACGACCAATTCGAACCCCTCTCCCATGGAGTACAACAGCAAAAAGGGCGCCATGTTACACTCAGTTGAGTACAATAAAACACAGAAAACATAACTGACAGCAAGAGGTAAAAACAAAATCCTCCGTCAATTACTGCCATATAACTCAATCCCCAGGGACACAGGAATATGTTAGCATATAATACAGTAAGTTTAGGCTGAAAAATGAACATATAGACATAGCTTAACAGTGCTAAAACACCAAAATTACTACAAGAGTAATGCCACCTACCTCTCCCATGAAGTACAATAGCAAAAGGGGAGAAGAAAGGAGGGAGACATCCCTTAATGGGTGGGGTACCCCCAAAGGTGAACGTAGGTGTACAGAAACTGAGTATCAAACGTTCCACATATTGACTATGTACTTAATATTACAAATGTACATTTGACTTTGTAGTTACTGCTGTATAATTGTCGGTGTCACATATACATGGCTTACATTCATCTTACACTAATCCAATTAATATCTGATAAACAGTAAATACTGCAGAGATGTGAACATGCTGGACCACACACACACACACACACACACACACACACACACACACACACACACACACACTTAGTGCTGCCACCTGGTAGAACTACAAACTGAACTGTCTGTTCTCATCACATGTAGTTGTGGTGTTAATGAATGTGAAGCAGCTCTGACCACCGCTTCACCTGTAAGCCTCCATTTTAAAGCTGTTTTTTTAATTTAGATTTTTTTTTCCTCTCAAAAACTGAGTAATAACTGTAAACTGAGACAAAACGTCTTCAAGAAATGCAAGCAAGTCCAGTTGCCTACGATATAGCACTTACAATAACTGTAAATCACTTGGAAGAATTTCTGAACCAACAGGAGAAATGAGCAAGCCTTGGTTTATATTGTATTTATATATTACATGAGAAATGCAGTGTACTGTTTTGCAATCATAAATCAAACAAACTTCAACTAACCTGGAAATCCAGATGCCCCGCCCTTAGCAAATTCTTATTTGCACTGCACAGGGATCTGGCCCCGAGGAGCAGAGCCCACTGAATTGCCAATCGGACCAATCAAATCAGTCTATCTGACAGAAGCGGGCTCTGGGCGGGGGTAACATGATGATGACAGCATTGCGCCGTAGGAGTCAAAAAGTAAACAGCCAAGATGGCAGCTGCCGAAGGACAGCGTCCATTCAATTTAGCTTTGGAAGAAACGCTAAGCCAACAACACTTATCTTTTTCCTTGAGAGAGGAACAGAAGACTGCCCTAGAAGCCTTAACTTCCAGGAAGGAAGTTTTGCTGTTTTGCTGACGGGATACGGCAAAAGCATAATATATCAGTTAGCCCCACTGGTCGGCAAACAAACGGGGCTTAGTGCAATGGATACATCACCTTGTTTTTTGCTCTGATTGGCCATCGTGCTATCCAATTGCATGTGGCAGCATTTGAAATGCCTCAGTTAGTGCAGCCACTTGGGTAGGAAGGGTGTATCGGTGAGGGCCAGACTCAAAATCTTTCCAGATTTGAGATTTTGATTTGAGTCTGGATTTCCAGGCTATACTTCAACAGGTGAAGAAATAAAACACGCAAGCAATTCAAAGCATTATACATAACAGTAATACTTACAAAATTGAAATTAAAGTGGAATATTAAATATTGATAAGACTCTAACAGACTTATTGTATGCTTTTAATTATGTATTACACAATGGGATCTAACTTTAATACGGATATTTAGTTTCTTAATAAAATCCTCAGTGCCTGATATTTTAAACAATATCCAACTGTGATTCTTCTAACTGCCACCATTAAAGATGCAAGAAGAGCTGAGAGACTCACTGAGTCTCTAGAATCACCCTGCAGAGAATAAAACGGTGCCTGCTGAGAGATATTTCATTATTATCAAATCTGTACACATGAACAGAAAAAAATCCCACAAACTAGGTAAAAAAGAAAAAGGAATAACTTGAGAGAGACTTCAAAACAAAGCAGTTCAGCTTAAGTGTGCTTCCTTAAGTTGTTGATATACTTCACACGGTCCTCACACTCCATCGCAGGTAGTGGATGGAAAAGTCAACACAGAGGAGGAAAAGGGGAGTGTAAACGCTGATGTGATACATGCAGGTAATGTGTTTGTGTTTGGAGGAGGCAGTGAGGTGGCACACGGGGTTAAAAGTCCAACCCCCCCCAACTAAAGAAAACACCAACAGTTGAAGTGATGTCAACAGCATGATCACTTCCAGGGTCAGTTTCTAAGACAACACAATGCAGGTGTTTCTAGGATCATGTAGTATTAAGTGGTTGCCCAGCTCATGACAGCTTTTCTATTTTCTGGTTGTCAGAAAGTTAATTTTTATAGAAGTTCTTCGGATGTATAAAAACAGACTGTTGGCTACCCACTTGAGCTAGAGCAGTTAGCCGTTAAGATCGTACATGCAAATATAAATGTTTAAACTTTTGTCAGTATGGTGTTGCTACACATTATTAGCTCTGTAACTCAGATTTACAAAAACACCCAGTAAGTTATTTACATTCCTTTAGTCCGTAAGGGTCCAACAATCAAAAAAATCAAAACTGTTTTTCATGACATTAATCCAACTTATGAATATTGTTTTTAACAGGATTTAGTGGTGCTGTGTCTATATGTCAGGTACCATAATCCTCAAGTGCCGTAAAATGAGTTTCATATTGTAACATATCATTTATATGTTATTTGATGCCTAATATTTATACAATTTATCTTCATACTTGTTCAAATTAACAGTTTGATGATATTTCCCATCTTTGCAGCAGTTTTGTGTGAGAGGAACTGAAGGCTTGTCCCATATAGACGCCTGTCCCAAACAGTGGTTTAAGCAAATATTAGCCTGTGCTACTAATTGAAGTTTAATGGTATTTACTCAGGTGAGACGAGAAAGAGGTACTCACCATGATGACTGTGATAGGCTGACACACTTATCAATTAGGCGCACACCCCCTCAAACACATCTCTTTAAAACATCCTTTCTTTTTTGGGAATAGTTAAAAAGTTGAAAGTTTTTGATGATGTAACTTTAGTTAAGAAACAATAAAACTAAGCCCACACCCAATTCAGGATAGGTAACAGGTTGGCTTCTACTAATGCTAGGTAGTTCATTAGCATTAAAGATGATGACACAGGTCCAGTTCCAGAACAAAATGCATTTAAAATGAGTGGGGGTGCACCGGTAGGGGTGGGGGAAAATTTTCTATTTTATTTATATTTTGCGTGGTGATATTGTATCGATACACAGGCACTACGTATCGATCTTTTATTATATGCAAAATAAATGTTTGCAAATACACATATTAATACAACTTTTGGTACTAGAATAATAAAATCAGTTGCTTTTTTGGTCCACTAAATAATGCTTTTTTTTTTTCCTGGTGAGGTCAGCAGAGGTCTCAGTCAGCTGCATTTGGCAGGAAGCTCCTCAAAACAAAGATGGAGGCACCGGAGAAAGAAATGCTGTTGACATTTAAATTAAATGCCTGGACATACTGTGGATTTTTAACACAGAAGGAAAGGAGAGCTTGGATATGACAAGTGATTTGCAGTCATTGTCATATGTGAATAAAATACTCTGGGAATACTACAAACACGAGGGCTCACCTCACACGCCACCATCCAGAGATAGCATTAGCTGCTGACGGCCAGGTTAACACCAAACCTGCTCCACCCAAAGTCAGCCAGCGCTGGAAACACTTTTGTGACATGCTAAAAAGATGTAAACTCAGGTATGTGCCATGTTTTTTCACCGACAAAGCCGTACTCAAGTTCTACAGAGAGGTGAAGGACAAAGCTGAGGAATCTTTGAGTACATTAGGAAGGGTGACATTAACTTGTGACACCTTTAAGGTCAGTGGATTCATATGTGACTATAATGGCACATTATCTCACAGAGGACTACCTGGCCTCGCAAAGGGTTTTAAATCTGCCAACAGTTCAGTTTGTCAGATGTATGCAGCAGGGTTTATGATGGTGTTGGTCAGTCTGTCTGCTTTGCATCACATTTTGCTGCAATGAAATTGATTGAAATCAGATGAACGAACTGAAAACTTTATCTAAGGACGTATAACTGATGTTGACAAAGTTTTCCTTTGGGGAAATAATTTGCAGTTGACAAAAAGGCAATAAATTGCAATATATTGCAATATGGCAGTAATGCTGTATTGTTACCTAAGTATTGTGATAATATATCGTGAGTCCTCTGGCTTTTCTCATCCCTATGCACAAGTGGCTACAGTGCTGGACGATATCGCCTAATACTACTCAGCTTGATGTTTGGATGACTGCCGCAAAATATTCTTAATATCATGAAACCTTTTATAAAGTCTGTCTAACATTTAATACTGTGGTCAGTTATAGATTGCTGATGCATGAAAACTTGCCACTGTAGAAACACTGGTTACATGTTTGAAACGAGCCACAACTTAACATGCACATGCAATGATGTATCATGCTTCATCATTTGTAATAGGTGCGATCCGGTACTTAAACAAATGGCACTGCACCCCTGAGTACTACCATACAGAACTGACAGATATTCTCATCCAGAGTGTTGATCTTAAAGTTAATTGTCAGTCAAACAATCTGAAAACACCCTCCATCGACAATAATTTTAACACAGAATGTTTCCCATGTCATTCCTGACAACGTTTCCTCTTGTGTCATTTCTATATTCTTGCAGTTCTTTCAAGAAAACCTCAACAACACATGTATAAGTAACTGTTTCATAAAAGCCATTCGCAGCTTCTGCTGTACTGTCCATCCATCAGTGTTTCTTTCATTGCTCAGTGGTCGGTCTCCTCCATCACCTCCATCACAACAGTCCTGGGTCCTGTTAGGATCAGGTGGCTGACAGTGCGGTAGTCCAGATCGAGAACATTGAGTCCGTTGACTGAAACCACAAACTGACAAACCTGCAGGTAAAGAACAGAGAGAAGAATTAAGAGAAGTGAGAAGAAAATTAGCAATGGAGCAACAAACTAATTTACAGGTAGATGTACAATGACAGAGCTGAATGTGTTTTACCAGAAAGTTAAAAGGAAACATCTACAATAGATCAGTCTCAAAACTATCAGCTATTGTCTGAAGATGATAAAGCCTCTGGGGGTGAGGGCCAATATCCTGGGCTGTGCAGTGTAGCCAGCAGATATCCAGGCCAAGACTTCCTCTTCAATTCATTTTGACTAATGTCTTTAAGCAGATATTCGCATATGAATGCAGATAATTTAAAAAAAAAAAAAAGCAAATTCAAATTTCAGCCAGCGTGCTCTGCCTCTCCACAGAGACATTTACCTGCCGCTCAAATGTGATTGGTCAAAACTAATCAGACTATACATGGAAAATGGTACACTTCCAATACTAAAATCTTGTCCCATCACCTACAGATTCTGCATACATATGCAGATAAATAGTTATTCAGAAAACTGCTTAATAAATAAATGAATGGAGTAGGGCTGCCCCTAATAGTCGACCAAACATTAGTTGATCAGAAAGGTCATTAGGCAAGATTTCATTGGTCACTTAGTTGCAGAAAAAAAAATACAAAAATGATGAAACTCTGTTGGGACCTTGCATTTTCCAGTCGTATGTGTACGGCCTCTAACTCTAATGGCCCTAAATGACGACTATTGGTCTACCAGGAAAATTGTTAGTCGGGGGCAGCCCTAATAATAATAATAATAATAATAATAATAATAATAACAACAACAACAACAACAACAACAGCAATAATAATAATAATAATAATAATAAAACAACAATAATATAATAATGATAATAATAATAATCACAATTGTAGTAATAATAATAATAATAATAATAATCAAAATAATCTGCAGTTCCTATACTGTCCACTAGAGGTCACATCCACAAAAACTATTGAAATCAATGGGAAAAACCTCAACTTACCTTACAAATTCAGCTAATTTCATATCAGTATGTAATTCTACTCTTTTTACTCTTTTAATATGCACCAAAGGGAATAACCAGCACATTTCTTAAGATGCCTACCTTCATCCCAGCAGCAGCAGCTGGGCCACAGGGCTCCACAGCCTGAATGTGACATGGCCTGTTTCCTCTTATCACAAATCCCCAACCCACTGCATCACCCACAATCTGGAGACACACAGAGACATCCATCAGACATTAATCTGCAGCATACAGGGTATCAGAAAAGTCCTATAGAAACCCAGTGGTTCCAGCAAGAAAATAATAAAACTGATAAACACTTTGTCAAAAGAAAAAGATCTAAAAGGTATGGGCATGTAGACTTCCAGGCTGTTTTTACATAAGACATGCTGAGTTTATTTGGGCCAGCTGAAACTGCAGTGTATATTGTTAAAAATTCATGTAGCTCATTATAGACAATACATTTCCTTTTAGTCCTTGAGAAGTGCTTGCAGTCTTTCATCTTCAATTAAATGAAATAGGCGTTTTCCACTCTGCTCATAGTTTAAAAATGTTCATTTGTTACATACTGTAAATGTTTTCTTCATGTAGGGTCCTCCTGGTCTTTGCAGCTCTTCTGTGCTCACTGGTCTCTTCAGGACTAAACATAAAACATAATGTCAAAATGAATATAAACATTTTCAGCAACAGCAGGTAACAAATGAGGCATAACGTTGTGTACTTTACCACCCACTCAAAACAATCTGGGTGTTTTGCAAATACATGTTTTCATTGTGAGACTGTTTTTGGCCCTTAAATGTACAGTTGGAAATTATAATCCCAATAACTCTTTGTTCAATTCTGTGTACTGTATATCTCTTCACAGTCCACTGGCTGTCTGTTCTGTGTGTGCACTGAAAAGAAATCAGGTATTCATACATAGCCCTGGCTCTGTAAATAGGAAACAAACAAAATAGATTGGACTGAGTTACACAACACCATGTAGTCCTATCCCTCTTCCAAATCCTTGCCCACAAGGAATGGAGCTACACCATGATAGTATTGAAACTGAGATAACATATAGACAAGATTACCGGAGCTGAAACATTACTGCCAGTGGTAAGGATAACATCACAAGTCTGTAAAAGGCCGGCCAGCAACAGCAGAAAGAACTCAGTGAAAGCAGCATACTTTCACACCTAGTTCAGTGGATTCAAGTTTTATTGCGACCAAACTGAGAACAATGGACTAACTGAACGACTAACAAGACTAACGACAACGGTTTTGGTGAGATTTGTATTGTTACTGTAGGAGGAACAGCCTGCTGAACCCCCCCCCCCCCCCCCCCCCCCCCCCCCCCCAAAAAAAAAAAAAAAACATAAAACTGTAAGTAAATGGACAGAGGTGAGATGGGCCACTCTGAGGGTCAAATGTTTATGGCTTTGCCCGTTTCCCCTCAAAGTTGATGAACTCTTTCACCATCATCCTGGCGTCAAGAGTGGTAAAGGTGTCAACTGGAAACCCTCCAGATCCCAGTTTGCTGATTACCATCCTGGGAAAATCCAGCATTGTGACAACTCAGCCAGATTAAATGTCAGACCAGGGTCATTAACTATGCTTTTGAGTTCACTTATCTTCTGAGATCCAAACAACAACAGCGGCAGTAGCTCAGTCCATAGGGACTTGGGTTGGGAACCGGAGGGTCGCCTCTTCGAGTCCCCGTCCGGACCAAAATATGGAGCGTGGACTGATAACTGGAGAGGTGCCAGTTCACCTCCTGGACACTGCCGAGGTGCCCTTGAGCAAGGCACCAAACCCCCCAACCGCTCGGAGCACCTCACCAAGGGCAGCCCCCTCACTCTGACTCTCTCCACTTTGTGCATGTATAGGTCCTGTTTATGCATGTGTGTGTCTTTCGGACCTGTGTGTAATTGACAAGCAAGAGTGAAAACATTGAATTTCCCCTCAGGTGGATTAATAAAGTAAATAAACTAAACTAAACAAGGAGAGACTCCAACTCACCTACCACCAAAGAATCATATCTTTGATCATATCTATCTGGTATACAACACATCTATGGGAGTCACCCCAGCTCTATCTTGCTCTCACCTTGGTGAAGATGAGATAAGAAATCCAGATGGGAGCCATAAATTCAGGAGAAATTCCTGACTAAGAAATGGTTTATAATATTCATAACTATGTTTTCATTAGTTTATAATCAACTTTTGTTACTTTAAAATGATACATAGGGAATATATACTCTTTACGGAGTCCACCATGTTTCTACAGCAGCCCAGAATGAACAAATCAAATACTGGCTTTGCATTTTTGTGTAAACCACCGTAGTCCTTCTTCACGTGCACATGGGAGAAGTTTCAGCTCTGCAACCTCACTGCTAAATACCCCACAGTCCTACAAACTGAACCTTTAACATTTCAAATATTAAATGATGTGCTGGATGTCGCTCTCCTTCTGCAGGAGCAGTTGAACCAACACAGGATGCTTCATGGATACAAATTCATGCATTTGAAATGCAGTTGTTAATTTACCCATAGACATGAATTTACCTCTTCGAAAGATAAGATAAGATAAGATAAAAACTTTATTAATCCCACACTTGGGAAATTAACATGTCACAGCAGCTCAAAGCACAGACAGAAAAGGGAGGGTGAATGTAGCTTGAATAAAAGAAAATTAAAGATTAAAAAATATGAAATGTGTATACAGTATATGTAGATATATAAATATATATATATACATATATATATATACATATATATAGTATTATTTTATTTTTCACCTGATTTAGGGTTGTAGAGCACTGGGGAAGAAGTGGAGTTGTGAAGGCTGACTCCTCTCCTGCTGTATCTGCTGCCATCACTGCAGCTCCTCAGCCGGGCTGTTCCCTGACCTCCACATTGTCTACCGCCAGCAACCTTCACCTCCTTAGAAGGAGCCACTAATGGAGAGAGAGGGAATCATTATCCGGTGGAGAACTCAGTGACTTTTAATAATCAGAGTCATAACTGACCCAGTTCTGTGTTTAACTTCCTCAATTATTAACAATTAACAGTTAACATTAACAACTGTGTTACTGTCCAAAAATGCCTTGATAACAGCTGACACTTCCTTAAATAAACAGAGGGCATGGTGTTGGCTGACCAACAATACCCCCAAACTGCAGAAGTGCTCTGGTTTAACCATCAACCAAAAATGCTTTATCCAGTTTTTGTCATAATTTTGTTTTGTTGGTTTCTTTGTGTATCTGTTCTTACTCTGGAACTGGCTACATTGGTTTGGTTGCTGAGGGACATGGAGGAGATATCCAGCTCTTCTTTTTGGCCCCTGGTCCATAGAGTCTTTGCACATGAGTCAAGTTCATTGTCTTTGAGAATCCTACTATCAAAAATCACAAATTTGCCTCAAGAAGCTTTACAGTCTTTGCAGCATATGACTCTCTCTGTTTTAAGACCCTAAGAAAAGACAAACTCTATAAAAAACATTATAAGGGGAAAAAACGGGAAGAAACCTCAGAAAGTACAACAGAGACTCTCTGTGTGCCTTAATCCAATCAGATTCCTGTCATCTTCCGTGTTTCAAGTGAACATTTCAACCCAAACCCATATCTTACCCAAACCCTTACCACATGCTTTCTGTGACTAAACCTGACCGAAGCTTTGTCATCTCACAAAACAGCAACACAAGAATTTTCTGAAGTGGCTCATCAGAGTTTCACAAATCTAGGGTGACCATCTAGCCAACACATTCTTACTCTGACCTCTTCACATATTGACGTTTGATCATGGACCTTTCATGTCCAGATACGATGTTAAAGGTACCCTGAGTGTGTTAGTTGTTGACGTTCTGTGCAGGGGCAGAAATCTCGGGGGGGACAGGGGGGACATGATTCCCCCTTCAATAAAGCTGTACCCCCCTAGAATAATTTGAGACAAAATTAATAATTTTTGAACAATGCAGTAGTATTTATTAAAAGCACAATGTAAGTGGTGCTCATTATATAAGCACAATAATGTGCTATTTAAATCTTAAAAGATTTAGTCCCCCCTCCCATTCCTAGAAGTGGTATATCCCACACTCTTTCCAATGGGTGGGGCTAGCAGCCGTTAGTACTTGGCAGCAATAGCAGCGTGTGGCTGGACCCCGCTGCCCACATCCTGCATAGCGGGGTAAGATGTACACTCACACAGATACAATTTAACTTACACAAGTTACAACACATTCCATTTACTGTTACAACAGTCCCCAGGCCCAGGCTGATAATATAAACTGTTTGCAACATTTGTCCTGCATTGTTCAAAATCCAGAGTTTAGTGATAGTCAGAGAGGACAGGAGAGAAAGAAGAGGGAGAGGACAAGACAAGAGCAGTCAGTGACGGAGCGGCTCGTAGTTAATATCTGTAGGCTCTCCACCTGTCAGTGAGACAAACATGACAGACGTGCAGTTTAACTGACGAGGAGCGGTCATTACGCTTGATTATTACGCACGGTTTTGAGGTGCGCAGCGGCAGATCTCACAGCACACTGTTTAAACCAGTTCACCAGTTTAATTGCAGGAAATGTTTATCTCACTGCCGGTAAAAAAAAAACGAACAAACGGTTTGCTGCTGCAGCCAGCCAGAGAGAAGGATCCATTCCACACACCTGAGCCAGATGAAAAAGAGGGGAGAAGGGGAGAGAGATCGAGTTTCGGTCTTTGATGAATGAAGCCTTATTGTTTTGCTGCTATTAAACAATGAGAGACATGTTTTCTCCGTTTACTTAATAGCATAAATATTCACACTAATGCGCACGGGGAGACAGTGTTCCAGACACACTCAGCACCTTGGACAGCAAGGCGCACCTGACTGTTGTTGTTGTGTACATGTTAATTTGATTTCAATCATTTTGTTTTAAATCTGGACATGTGCAGGTGGACTCAGCCAGTGCTAAGAAAGGTCCTATGCCTGCCTGTTGGAGAGATAGAGAAAAGATTAAAGCGTCAAATTGCGGTAAAAGATGCTGTATAACAGATAGGCTACAACTTTTTTTCCTTGTCCCCCCCTGGAATTATTCTCTAAAATTTTACTGTTTATTGTCCCCCCCATCTTTGAAATGGGATTTTCGCCCCTGGTTCTGGGACACTGTGTCAAGTTCTGCCTGTTTCATGCATTGTCTTCTTTCAAAATACACCTCTGTTTTCACAGGAAATTCACTGTTTACATACAGTCTCTTTCAAAATAAACGTACTATTTCAGTACAACAATGCAAATTGACGTTTTCTTTCCTCCAACAACTAACGCATGTGGTTGGGTTTAGGAAACACAAACAGGGTTTGGCTTTATAACCTTACGGGACTCCACCTGCCCTTCCGGAGTGAAAACTGGTGTTTGTTGGACCCATTCAAATCATGGTTTGGCTTAAAGTAAGTACATTTGTTATTAACAAAGCATGACGTATGTAACTTGACATACATCATATATGTTATGTGATATACTCTGGAATACTACATTATGATCTTAAAGGAATATTTACCCACTGGTCCATAGGGACTTGGCTTGGGAACCGGAGGGTTGCCGGCTCAAGTCCCCGCCTGGACAAAATATGGAGAGTGGACTGGTAGCTGGAGAGGTGCCAGTTCACCTCCTGGGCACTGCTGAGGTGCCCTTGTGCAAGGCACCAACCCCCCCAACCGCTCGGGGTGCCTGTCCATGGGCAGCCCACACCCTGACATCTCTCCACTTTGTGCATGTATAGGTCCTGTTTGTGCATGTGTGTGTATTTCAAGCCTGTGTGTATATGTTTATGACAACGGAGTGAAAGCATTGAATTACATTGGATTAATAAAGTATATAAAATTAAAAATAAAAAAATAAAAAAATAATTAAATGAGCATATGTAAATCAATTAGTCATGCCGAGTTGAATCAATTTGTGGTTATGCCAGTCTGGTCCAGTGTACCATCTTAAACCAGTTTGACTTTATATAACTGGCTGAACAGGCAGTAGTGTGCATGTATTTCTTTTGTAATAAGCAATATTAAAATGTGATTATGTACGGTGTTGGTTTGCAGCAATATGTTGCAATATGTTGCATATGTATGCATATGTTTTTGGGCGACGAGAGGAGACATGGCAAGAAAACTGAAACCGCAATTTTTTAAGTACTTTGTGGAATGGGATTTCTTTGACATAAAACCCTTACATAGTCTGGATATAATACCTTTGTTTAGTTGTGACATGTAGGAACCTAGTCATGCACACATTTTTAAAATGATCATTTTATGATTGCATGACACACTGATTCAGGGAAGATGACCTCACACACCCAGATAATAAAATGATAACGTGATAAATTTCATTTGTTAGATGAGACATATCCTTTGTCTCATCATAATAACACTTCCTGTTCAGGATAATAATTTATACACTACTTCCTCCTGTAGCCATGGTTATTGTACATAACATAAACATGACCAAAATGGTGTCTTTAAAATGTGTGTCTCGTAATGTGTAAGTTTAAGGTATTGTCTCCTAACTGTCAGGTCAAAAGTTCTGTTGACAACAACATGCTTGCTCACTGTAAACTGCTCTTAAGTGTTCATATTGTGTGAACTTAATATATGTTTTACTTACTAAGTTACCAATTGTCTCCTATAACTACTGGTTAAATCCTCTATCAAATGAATAAAGTGCATTTTAATCAGTTACCAAAATAAAATGTTGTCTTTGTGCGTTTCTGCAAACCAGGAAAACATGTCAACATTTCTAAAGTGACGTAGTATATGAGCTGACTTTGTCATCTGGAGATGAATGCATGGTTTGCAGGAATGTACAATATCAACATTTTTGCAGTTGGGTTGTTATAGTACACAACGCTCATCTGACATTTGGTCATGGACCTTCCACATCCTGATACGACATGAAAGGTACCCTGGGTGCGTTGGCTGTTGACATTCTGGGGCGCCATGTCAGGTTCTGCCTGTTACATGCATTGTCTTCCTTCAAAATCCTCTTCTGTTTTCACAGAAAATTTACCATTTACTGTTTCTTTCAAAATAAATACACTATGTTGGTACAGCAATGCAAATTGATGTTTTTTTTCCTCCAACAACAAACACACATGGTTGGGTTTAAGAAAAAAGAACAGGGTTTGGCTCTCTAATCTTATAGGATGCAAACACCCGCTCTCCAGAGTGAAAGTCTGTGTTTGTTTGACCCATCTTCCGCCACTCCCACCCGCCCTACTTGGACTTTCCCTGTCTTCACTTTTGTTCTCTTGTCCTGCCACATTTCCCCCTGAGGCTGCCGAACACCCTTAAAATATAACAGTATCATGCCGACGTTAAAGGACGTCTTTTTTGTTAGTGTCTGTCACAGCCAAAGCGCTGGATTTTGACAACTTCAGAGTGAGACCGGTTGGCATGGCATCCAATTACATTGTCCAGAGTTTGATTTTGGCTGAAGAGGTTTATCTGTCTGTCCCTGTGTTTCTGTCTCTACTGTCAGTTATCCCAACCTCAATCACCAGAACAAATGTTGGCTTTGTATGTTTCTGCAAACCACAGTAACATTACACTTGAATGTGTGCTAGCTGATATCTTGAAAATTAACTTTTCTTTATGTTTAAATTTTCAATTTTATGTTGTGACAACATTGTGGTTAATGTGGGGTTAGATTTAAGCACAAAAATGGACATCATCAAAATCATGTTTCGGCTTAAATCACCCAGTTTTATCGCAACAAACAAGGCTGGAAATGTCTTGACGTGCCGCTAAAAAAAATACTTGGTTTTCATGCCATCTACCATCCCCTCCTCCACCTGAGAGACTCAGCTCATATACATGCAATCTGAACTACATCACTGTAGACACGTTATCATGATACTTATAAAACATACAAATGCAGCCTATGGTTTACAGAAACAATGGCAACATCTACTCTGGCGACTGGGCTGATCAAAGGAAAAATGCCTCTTTTGAGAAAAATATATGGGCCTGATTTTCTTGTTTTAACGGAGCAATTGCATTTCAAAATGACCTATCACTAGAACTGGAAAACTGATTTACCACTAATGACCTACCACATTAACCTCAGTTAAAAACAAGACAACAGTGAGTAACCAGTGACAGCTAAAAAAGAGCCCAACAAAGTTTAAATGATTAAACCAGAGTGGTCTCTAAGAATTAGCTCAGATAATTTTGTGGCTAAATAAAACGTCATAAAACTATTTGAATATTTGCTGAGGGCTCTGACCTCTGACCTCTTTATTTCATATCACATCTGGTGATGTTAATAATCTGGAGTATCTGTACTGAAACATCATCTGAAAAATGTCCTTTGGTTCTTACCTGCTGTACGAGGTCCCATCTCTTTTATCCAGTCGGTCAGAGAGGACAGATGCTGAGGATGAATTCAGACGAGGAAGACCTTTAACTGCTCAAATAAACAAACAAAAAGATGGACACATGGACAGACAGACAGACCGTCAGTAACAGCTCTCTGGCATTAATTTAGTCTCCGCACAGTTTTCTTAATCATCTGGTCGGTGGAATCTGTCTGTGTGTCAACAGGTCTGAAAGCGAAGGTAGTCATCCGGTCAGGAAAATAAAGTGTGTGTGTGTGTGTGTGTGTGTGTGTGTGTGTGTGTGTGAGCTAAATATTAAACCTTTGAACAAACAAACTGACCCCTGCCAAGGGAGGAGGAGACACATCTCAAGTAGATTTTCCCTTCTCTGAAATAGTAAAGCAATATTAACAATTCACAATTTATATCTTTATAACTTTTCCAAACGAAATTTAAAAAACTGTTTCCAAGCTTTAGTCGTGTGCATCAATTCTTTTTTTAAAAAATTAAATAAAATAAATAAGAGCTTGCATGTTTGACTGTTTCATTGTACTTTGTGAAGCACTTTGTGTATTTTATTTAGGTGCTATAGCAGATACATTTTTTTTTTTAAAATTATGTATTATTATTATATGGTGGATGGCATGTCACCTAGGCAAGGTGCTTCTCAAGCTGTAGACCACTGTTTGAGAGCAACAAACAACAAAACTGGTTATTTATTAGTGAGTCATTATCGCTTTTTTCCTTTTAGGCACAAATCATTGTGTTTTCAGCTAGGACGGTGCCACCAAAAATGGTACCAAAACATCACTACACTTTCTACAAGAATAGTGCCACAAACAGTGATTCAGTAAAAAAGTAAAAAAGCGTTGAAATGTAAAGTTTTATCATATCTGCTACATACTAACACAGAATTGTAGCTTATCTGTGATTTGCAGAAATGTACAATGCAAACATTTTTCCTGGCAATCGGTTGGCTCAAAACGATACACAATAGAGACTAAAGATCAGATCTGTGGAAATCTTGAGGGTTTGAGATGAAGATTAATGTCATAGATTTAATTTATTTAACAGTTATAAGTGTATTCCCCTGAAGGGCTGAGGGCTAGACAGTTCTGCAAACTCATTCCCTCAACTTCAGCTGTTAGGCAAGCCAAAGAGCCATATGTTTGAGGATGTGTGATTTCTACTTTTAATATCTGCAGCAGAACGGACTGTTCCCGAGAAGCTGAATAATATCAGTAATATCTGTGTTTAACCTTTTTCGCTCCACTGGTCGCTGCAGGCTGCAGTTTGTGGTTCCTACTGATAACAGGGTGGATTTCTCCATACAAATCTAACATTAAGCAACTTCAGAAAACAAGCTTTTATACAAAGAGAGTTTGTCAGCTCTACAGCAAACAAAATGACAAAGTGATAGGATAGTCGATGCTTAAAAATATACCTGAACTGCAACCTGGTTGCCATGCAGACCGTAGGATGCTGCAGCTGGAGAGGAAAAGGAAACACAAAGATAATTTCTGCTCTGACGGATCGAGGAGAGTCAGGACAAAGACAAAAGCTTTTACATCAGTTGATACAGTGCAGAGACGTGAGGGCAGACTTAGCAGTATATTATTTTAAAAAGCCTTGTCTAACACTTGCTCTCAAACTAAACATATCTGAACCTCTCAGCAGACTCATTTGGACAACGTGGCTGAAAATGACAACAAAGAAGAATGCAGTACCACCATCAACAACAATAACAACAACATGTTGAGTAAACCTCTGATAAATTCACAATCTGTTGGGTCTGCAGAAGGAACATTCCTGACCCTTTACAGCTGATCAGAGATCAGTCACTATTTCTGTTTCAGTTCCTAATCATTAGTCACACAGTCAATATGGCTTCTTAGACTGGAGATAAAAGCCCAGTGATACAAGTACTGGTGATGACAACAAGACATGAACACACACACACACACACACACACACACACACACAAAAGGAAAAGAAGTTTGTTCCGTGCAAATGCTGTGTTTACACACATTCATACCTTTGTTATTTTTGGTAGATAGCAATTCATAGGTTGTCTTCTTCCAACCACATGTAAATGAGCTGGACAAACATCTGGGCCTTATTTCAGAGAGCAGGATGACTGAAAACTCTGAGTATGTCAAGCCTGAGATGAGGGAAAATCTGAGTTTTCTGTTTCACAAAGCCAGTTCAGCGTAACCCTGAGTCAGTTACTATGGCAACATACTCCTCAAAGCAAACCTGTTGGCTCGCAGGTTTGCTTCATCTAAGCCTGAGGCTGATCGCCTGCTAAACGTGTAGCAGGAAGGAGAGACATTGCGTGTCCTTTTGAGAATAAAGTCGTGGACATTGAGGAACAAATTATTCAGAGGCTGTTATGTAAGGGGAAGGTGATTAGACCCTGTTGAGTTTGTCTTATCATTCCAGGAAGAGTGTCTTCATGAAAGATGATGTTTCACCTCACCCTGTATCATTTATCTAAGAATCTTCTACACCCACATATATATATCAAATATTACACATTGTGGATTTGCATTACCATCTGTTAGAGATAATAATAACAAAATAATGAATAATAATAAATACTAATTAGCCAGTATATTTTGTGTTTGATTTTGAGTTGCTGCCAAGTGTGTTTGGGCTCCATCAGATTACAGCTGAATAAGAAGATGTAGCAAAATATATGAAAATATATGAATATTGTTAATATATATAAAAATGTTTTTATATTTTTGGTTCACATTACATAACATCACACACTACCATACCACCTCAGGCTGTTAAGCTGCAGCTGTCGATTTAGATTTTTTTTTTTTTTTTTTTTTTTTTTGAAGACACGTTCGAAGTCCACATACAGTCAGGTCCATAATTATTTGGACAATGATACAGTTGTCATCATTTTGGCTCTGTACACCACCACAATGGGTTTTAAATGAAACAATGAATACCTGCTTAAAGTGCAGACTCTCAGCTTTCATTGAAGGCTTTTTTCAAAAATGTAGTATGAACCGTGTAGGAATTACAACCATTTCTTCACACAGTCCTCCGACTTTAAGGGCTCACAAGTATTTGGACAAACTAACATAATCATCAATTAAACAGTCAGTTTTAATACTTGGTTGCAAATCCTTTGCAGTCAATGACTGCCTGAAGTGTTGGACACATAGGCATCATCAGATGCTGGGTTTCTTCCCTGGTGATGCTCTGCCAGCCCTTTACTGCAGCCGTCTGCACTTCCTGCTTGTGTTTTGGGTGTTTTGCCCTCAGTTTTGGCTTCAGCAAGAGAAACGCATGCTCAATTGGATTCAGGTCAGATGATATGACTTGACCATTGCAGAACATTCCACTTCTTTGCCTTAAAAATGTCTTTGGTTGCTTTTGCAGTATGCTTCAGGTCATTGTCCAACTGCACTGTGAAGCATCGTCTAATGAGTTTTGAAGCATTTGGTTGAATCTGAGCAGATAATGTAGCCCCAAACACTTCAGCTTTCATCCTGCTGCTCTTCTCAGCAGTCACATCATCAATAAATACAAGAGAACCAGTTCCACTGGCAGCCATACATGGCCATGACATAACAGTACCTCCACCATGCTTCACTGATGACGTGGTGTGCTTTGGATCATGAGCAGTTCCTTCCCTTCTTCCTTCTCTTGTCTTCCCATCATTCTGGTAGTTGATCTTTGTTTTATCTGTCCATAGTATGCTGTTCCACAACTGTACAGGCTTTTTAGATGGTTTTTGACAAACTCTAATCTGGCCTTCCATTTTTAAGGCTAACCAATGGTTTGCATCTTGTGATAAACCCTCTGTATTTATTCTAGTGAAGTCTTGTCTTGCTTACAAGAGCAGCAGGATGAAAGCTGAAGTGTTTGGGGCACCATTATCTGCTCAGATTCAACTAAATGCTTCAAAACTCATTGGACGATGCTTCACAGTGCAGATGGACAATGACCTGAAGCATACTGCAAAAGCAACCAAAGACATTTTTAAGGCAAAGAAGTGGAATGTTCTGTAATGGTCAAGTCATATCATCTGACCTGAATCCAATTGAGCATGCATTTCTCTTGCTGAAGCCAAAACTGAGGGCAAAACACCCAAAACACAAGCAGGAAGTGCAGACGGCTGCAGTAAAGGGCCGGTAGAGCTTCACCAGGGAAGAAACCCAGCATCTGGTGATGTCTATGTGTCCAACACTTCAGGCAGTCATTGACTGCAAAGGATTTGCAACCAAGTATTAAAACTGACTGTTTAATTGATGATTATGTTAGTTTGTCCAAATACTTATGAGCCCTTAAAGTTGGGGGACTGTGTGAAGAAATGGTTGTAATTCCTACACGGTTCATACTACATTTTTGAAAAAAGCCTTAAATGAAAGCTGAGAGTCTGCACTTTAAGCAGGTATTCATTGTTTCATTTAAAACCCACTGTGGTGGTGTACAGAGCCAAAATGATGACAACTGTATCATTGTCCAAATAATTATGGACCTGACTGTATACGGTTGTTAAAATCTCCACTACTAGCCTACTTTCTTAAATAGGGTGTGTAGCTAAGAAGACTCTTGTCTTCATGAAGCTACCTGAAATTGGTTTATAGTTTATGATCGTCTTCATCTTCATCCACTTTCTCTTATGATTGGACCTTCTCTATGTTAACCACATAATAGGTCCTGATTTATGTCAGGGTTATCTTGATCTCAGTGATATGATCTTGATAAATAACACTGAAAAGAGTTAATAACTGTGCTACCAAACCCTGGCTCACTAGTTTAAATATATACCAATGATAGTTTAAAATATTAAAGGGGACATATTGTGCTTTTCCTTCTTTTCTGTCATACATATAAACTTTTCTATACCAGAGTTACAAAGTGCTTCACAATCAGTGTTGGGCAGTAACGCGTTACTAGTAACACGCGTTACAGTGATAACATCACTTTTTCCAGTAACGAGTATTGTAACTTATTACTAATGAAATTTCAGTAATAATATTACAATTACTCCAAAACCAATCCCATCAATCACGTTACTTTTGTTATCACATCACTACTGGCTCATTTTAGTAATCGTCATGTTGCACACGCACGTCATTAAGCAGAAAGCTAGTTGGAAACACTTATCTTAGCGGCTGGAAATATTCCTATTACTTTGGTTTTGTCAGGAGGAAAGATGACAAGAACACTGTAGCTGCAGGTAGTAGAACTACAACTCTTTCTACTGCAAAAAA